CTCGGAGACGTAGCGGCGCTCACAGAGGCTTGCTGAGGGCGAAACGGGGCCGTCATCAAAGCACTGGCATTCCCTCCCTGTCTTTTCCTACTTGACAGGCGAGGAAGTAAGTCTGAAAGCCTGCAAAGCCTCTGGCACTACACTTACAAGAGGCTCTGAAACATGCGGGCCTGCTCTCTAGCCCAGTTTGGTTATAGAAGCGTGTTAGACAAAGCAGTAAATCCCTGTGGTTTTTTGTGTTTTTTTCTCTAGATGCCTGTGACTGTGGGCCCGTATGGGCAATCGCAGCCCAGCTGCTTTGACAGAGTAAAGATGGGTTTCATGATGGGCTTTGCAGTGGGCATGGCAGCAGGAGCACTGTTCGGCACGTTTTCCTGCCTCAGGTATGCCATAGAAATGGCTTCCATGGACAGGTCGTAACAGAGTGATAGCCAGGGAGAAATGCTCCCACTCTGGGTTTGGGAAGGGAGGTGTGGGTGTGCTCCTGTGTCGTCACATAGGTGAAACTTTGCTAGTGGCTCCGAATTAGCCACGGTTCGAGAGCCTGCTGACAGCCCCGGCCTCAAATGGGGAAGTCTGGTGATGCTGGGGCATCACCTCTGGGTCAGCTGTGTACCAGGAGGTCGCAGTTACGCAGACCTTTTCCTGCCGCTCCTAAGGGAGGTTGCGTTGGGAAGCTGAGCCTGTGGAAGATCAGCTGCAGGAGGAGCTGGATGAATTGTCTGTGCAGATAACACGTGCAGTCCTCTCCTTGCTCTAAAGCTTCCTGAGGTACTCTGCAAGCTCTTGGGTATCTGCATTATGTTGCTTTGGGTGTCCCATCCCCCTGCACGGAGGCAATTACCATACTGACCCCCAAGTCTTAATTGCAAGAGTGTAGGCAGAGCTGTGGCTGGCACTGGCACAATCCCATTGTGAATCAGAGAGGGACAATATTCCACCTTCCCCCGGCACTCCCCGCCATGCCAGCATGGAAACAAACAATGCTCACTGCTCCAAGTTAGCTCTTGCGCTGCTCACTGACTGGTTTTGGCACACATTACCCATGAAAAGGAATTACTGAAATAAGTTCTTTCATATTTTGCAGAACTCTTTCTGCTCGAGGTTTTTTAACTTGTGATTAAACATGGGCGATAATTTGGTAGTGAGCCTAAAAGGAGGAAAAGGCACAAAGTCTAATCTGATAGAGTTTAAAAAGTTTTCTGATCTCTTTCAGATCTTGGAGAGTGTTTGTAAGTGGTACAATGCTAGCAGAAAATACAGATTTAGGATATTTGGAAGAAGCAGTGACAGTGGTTCTGTTGTACTTGAGTGATAAAGCTACGTTACTTCTGCTGTACCATTTTTTAGGGAAAATCTCCATGTTTTAAAAATCCAGTGCATGAAATTCCTTGGACTCTACACACACTGCAGTGCTTAAAAGCCAAATATTACAAGAACTTCCTGAGAAGGAACAATTCTTTTTGTTTTGGTCTGACCTCAGGTAACTGGGAACTGGGGAACAGAAATGCCTCTGGAGCCTTCTAGGTGTCAGTGGTAAATAGGAAGTTAGTTTACAAGATGATTTTAAGTTGGTAGTATTAAAAATACTGTCACTGCAGCCAGACAGGATGGTAATACAACAGCTCAGACCCTTTTTATTCCCTGGCAAGTCAAATACTTGGACAGCACAATTTTTTTTCCCCAAAATTAAGGGTATTTGGGGCACTAGCAGGTAAAGCTGTTCCTGCTAGTGGCATGGCAGGAGGGTACAGTGTCAGCTGGTACCGCTGCAGGAAAAAATACATGTCATTGGCGAGGGTCACTCGAATGCCCCAAAGAGCAGCTCCATTTCTGTTTTTGCAGTAGCTCAGGCACAGGGCACCGCAGCCACTCTCTCTGCGGAGGCAGGCGGTATCATTTTAAATTTAGACTGAAGAGGAGGTGTTTGATTTGGGTGCTCAGGCAGCCCTTAGCTGGCTGTATCAGATGTTTTCTGCTGCATGTCTGTTACCTGTCAGGCTTCAGCTCTTATATAATTCCTGTGTTTTTCTTTATCTCAGGATTGGCATGAGAGGACGAGAGCTGATGGGCGGAGTTGGCAAAACGATGATGCAAAGCGGTGGGACGTTTGGGACATTCATGGCTATTGGCATGGGAATCCGCTGCTAACCTGGAGCTTGGCTTTTAACCCAGAGTGCCCCCATCCAGCCATTCTTCCTCTGTACCATAATAAAATCTTTAGATACCTGAAGTGAGAGCTCTTCATGAAATGGTGATGCACCATCCTCCTTGCTCTGCTCATTGTAAACATGCTTTTTACCAAATTTCTACTTTCCTCCCATGACAGTGAGAATTAATAATCCTTTGTACTACATTAAAGTTCCTATTTCACAGGCGTAAGTACAGCGCACACATTTCTCCCCTTGGTACTTGGGCAGCTCACATTCCCAATGTGCTGATGTGGAGCCGCTCCATTGTATTCGTGCATTCCCGAGTCTAGGAGAGTTACTCTGTGGCTAATTTGGATCAACTATCAAATTTCTCTCCTCTTGGAAAAATAGGTGGGTTGAAACTGGCCCCATTTCTGAGTTCCAGGTAATACGGGGCAAACACCCTCAGAGTGAGGGACCCCAGGACACGGGCAAGTTCTTCTGCAGCTGAGGGCAAACCATAACAGCTCAGGCACCTTCTTCCAGCCAGCCTGGCAGCATGTGGGTGCAGGAAGCAGTCAGGGGATGGCACAGGCACAGCCATGCTATTAGAGCTGGAAATCGTTAAATTGCTGGAAAATGGAAAACTGCCCATCACATGACAGCTAAAGGTATTTTGTGATGAGTCACAAAGATGACTTTGACACCAGACATTGGAGATGTAACCTCCTTGTCAGGCCTTGAGCAATGCCTTTCCTAAAGCTCCCCCCTCAGGACTAGCTGTGCTGCAAGTTACTGCATTATCAGCACATAACCGTGCAGCTCGACTGCACTGCCTCTCACAGCTCTGACGGCTGCAATCTTGCACCCTTGGTGAAGTGAGGCGCACTCTGCTGTACAGCTCTTCCTGAGAAGGGAAGGACAGAAGCAGTGGTTGTGGCTGCCCCCAGCGACAGAAATTTGCAGTGGCTTTTCTTGGCAAGGGAAGGGGGCTTCACCTGTAGGAGCTGCACTACCATAAACAGTGCTCTGCAGGTGGAGTCTTTTCCTACAAGCTGCCCTAATGGGTCTACAAGGTGCTCAACGCTTCCCAGGGAGAACACGGGGATTACCTCCCCACCATTTGCCAGCCTCTGTAGCACTGCCTACAGCTGAACTATGGAATGTAGCGTTGCAGTCTCCTGTTACTTGCCTTTTGAAACAAGGCTTATCTTTGCTCCTCCTTTATTTCTGTTTAAGGATAGAAGAGGACAGGTTAGCAGCAGAACCTGAACCAGCACCTATACAGCCTTTACCTAGTACAAGTGCTGTTTTGCCAGTTTCTAAGGGAGAAACACAAATCTTGCACTAAAAGCCTGCTCCCTTCTCTGCTGTCGTGCAGCTCAGGAACCTCTGAAACTGCCAAGGACCACCAAGTCGGGCCACACAGCTGCTCTATAACAGCTCAAGTTTTACTCCAAATGGCACTGGTGGATTAATACTGGCAACTAAAAAAGTAAGGTCAAGCAAACCCAGAGAGCAGCTTTGCTCGGCTTATCTTCAGCTGTGTCACAAACTCCTGAGACACCCTGCTGTAATATATTCCTGGCTCTTCCCCACATCTGCCTGTGTACTACCTCCAGTTGCCCAGTCCCATTTCCTCCCATGGCTCCCTCCTGGATTGCTGAAGACAGTCTCTTGCCACACTGCAGCTCAGCCACAGCTACATCCACCCTGAACAGCAGCACCAAGAGGCTGGACACCAGGTCACCACCCCGCTCTGTCTTGGAGCACTGGTAGCATCCCTGCCCAGCCCATTTTCACCCACCTGTCTTCTCTAAGGACAGCCTGAACAATTTAGCAGAACTGACCAGCACGTACGTTCTTTAGAAGGTAGACCTTCAATGTCAACTGGCACATGACTATAGTCTTCATTTTTGCATCGATCTTCCTCTCCACTCACAACAAATTCAGAGCATAGACATTCAATGAAAACATCAAATGCTATGAAAGGAACACTACTTAGAATAAAAAAAGAAGTACCCTTCAGTTTTCTTTAAACCTACAAAGCCTCAAACCCCTTGAGTTTGCTTTAACCCTACAAAGCCTCAAACCTTTCATAAATCTACAGCTTTGTCAAACACAGCTTTTGTTAGCCAGTGGTTAAAAATGACAGGGAGGTGGGAAAGGGGCACTAAGAGGGCAATGCACTTGGGCAGGCTTCCCTACAGAAACCAGATTAAAAGCCAACATAAATTACTCCTACATGCCCACGAGTCACAACCATTTGTGAAAGATGGGGGCGGAGGTGGGCAGGGGGGAAGTTATCTCTGGGACGAACCTGCAGCACGCCTGAGAAAGAGCAAGAGCTGTCCACTGCCCGGGCAGCAAGAAAACCCACGGGCCCTTAACAACCACAGCTGCAGTACACCGAGTGTTCTCAGGAATCAGCTCCTGTATTTTCTCCTGGAGGAGTGATATTCTGAACATCTACCATTTCAAAGCATCTATCGCTTACCTCCAGTCTTCAGCACACACTGCTTACATCGCATTAGGAGAGCGGAGAAATAAAGCTTCATGAAGGCCTTTTTAAGAGAATTTTATTTGAGTGGTTCTTACAAAGATTGTTGCAATATGAAAGTCTTTGTTTGATAGAAATATCAAGCTGTCTTGTCAAACACACTGAAGTAACCCAAAAATATATTTCAGAGCTCACAGAGCTTAAAAAGAGCAAAGATTATATGCAACCAGAACAAAACATGTTTCTGTATTTCCTACCGATTTTCAGACTCGGCTGAAATCCTTCAACTGTGCCACACTGCATACATAGAAACTTATCTGGAAATGCAGAGATCGTTTTGTTTGGAAACTTAGACACACCTCACACAGTATTTACAAAGAAACTTTTACAGATACATTAATCAAAAGTTACCATCAAGAAATAAAACCCTTCAATCCTTCTATTCTTATCAATTATTCAGGACAAAAGCAAGCTGAGTGGCTGTCTAGAGTCAGCTTTCAGTAGCCTTTTGAATTTTCCATTTATACAAAACACTAAATATGTCCCTTCGTAAAGTCTATCTCCGATATTAACCTTTAGCAGATCACCTACATTTAGTGAAATGTAAAATGTAATTGCTGCATTAAAAGAAAGGCTTGTGAAACATTAAAAATGTCATTATGTCCCATCTGCCTTTTACAGAGAACTTGTTTTCTATGAGCTACTTCTCAGTTCCTACAGATCACCTCAGTAAATGTACAAGAATTACAAGGCAGAACAAGAAGTCAACAGCTTTGTATACAGTGGAAATGCTAGTTAGGGAGAATGAACACACTGCGTTTCTGCTTACTTCATTTTATTTTTAAAGGTAGCAGGAAGTGTACACAAAATGACATTAAATCCTCTCCTTTAGTTTTATCTAAATAAAAGATAACTCAATCTTCCTCCAAAAAATAACTATGTACAAAACTGACTAAATCCATCTTCATCGTCGAACAGGAACCAGTAGTTGGGTTGCAGTCATAGAATCTGGGAAGAGGCTATGGTACGTTGGAAGAGGTACGTACGCCGCTGTAATCATTTTACCTAATCAGAAGATTTAAAATTTAAAAAAAAAAAAAAAAAAAATTTAGTATTTGGTCATTTCTGTAATTAATGAATAAATGTTGGTCTCTACACGAAATCCACTCACCTGCAAACCACCTCCCATGCAACGCATTTACAGCTGCAATGGCAGCAGCAATTGAAGGACATTTGACATACACGTTGCCCTGTAATACAGAAGTGTTACAGCCCGTTAGAAGCTTGAGAAATGTCCCACATTGTCTATTCTCAAAACACTTCCTTTGCGTGGTTGTGACGGAGGCAAACCTGCCTCGCTGTGTTCCTACTTGTATCAACCGATAATGCAGAATGAGCATGAGAAAACGGAGTAGCGGACAGGTTTTTACTGACATGCATTACCATACTGTAACAGTTATCTTAGCATGAAACTTTTCTAAATAGATTTTGCAAAACAGACCAAATGTTGATTTCAGATCAAGCTCACAAGTAATGGATTGCTTACTAGCTCATGATAACTCTTCAAAAGAGTATCTAATGGCTCCTGATGACAAGTCTCATGCAAAACAGAAAAGCACATGGAGTCTGGCTACCTCTACTGCACACTAGCCATGAAATCCTGTAAATCACCAACTTTCACCACAAATGGCTAATTAGATATGCAAGTTCACAGTCTGGTTTTCAAAGGGATTAAGCACTCCCCATTCCCCAGGGCAGGAAGGATGCCCAGCACTTCAAGGAAGACTGGTACTGCAAAAATTCTCCTACATCAACTTCAGCGTCTGCCTGTCTTTACTTGAACAAGGACTAAAATAAAGGGAAAAAACCCATCACAGCAGGGCAAGAAGAGCCCAAGGTGATATCTAACATGAATGACAGATTGATCTTTTAACTTTGCCACAGATATCTGAAGTTTTTTATCTGCAAATTAAGCACTAAACCAGCCTAATCCAGAGTACTGCAATATTCACATTCAACAACTGCAAGACATACAGACGCCCACAGTAATGTGCATGTATTTCTGGCTGCCTGCTTAAAAATAGATTACTACCAGTAATTCTTGAACCAGATCAGACTCTAGCTGAAACAGATTTTACAGGAAAAGAACATTTGAAGAAACAGAATCCAGCCCTCCCTTTGCCAGCCTGTCCTAACTTTTCCCACTGTGATCTAACTCATTCCTTCTCAGGGGGAAAACTTGAGATCAGGGGCTGATGTTTAAGGCACTAAGCAATTAACGCACACAGTTCTGTTCTCAGCCTCCCCCAGCATAGGCATCCAAGCTGCTTAAACCTTGACAGAGATACAGCAACATAGAGCTTTAAGTTTTCCTTAACACACCACAGTGCAGACTGGTGCGGTACACGAGACCACGTGTTCAGTTGGGACTGCAATCTTTTCCCCTGCAACAAATCACATCTTCCTGGCTGATTACTGACAGCCCTTAGCCTGGGAAGTCTGGCTGTCTGGGAAAGAGCCCTAAAAAGATGGGGATGAAAACACTTAAAAGATAATGTGACCAGAATCTAAGCCTGGAAAACAGAATAGCACAGTGGAAACTTACGTTCAAATACAGTATTTTTAAGTATCAGTGGGTATTTTGTATCTGGGTCATCGCTGTGCTACTGTGACAAAATGGATTTCATGTAAAAAACAGCTAACTCATGATATAGTAGCTGTATTTTTTTCTTTTAAACCCCCTTGCTAATGCAAATCAGATTTGCAGCTCTATGTGCTCAGAGCCTATGTGAGGTATGTTGAGGGCTGTTGTATTTTTGGGGGGTTGGGGGGTGGTTTTTTGGGGGTTTTTGTGTTGGGTTTTTTTGTTGTTGGGTGTTTCCCCCGCCGCTCCCCCCAATCTGTCGAAGGACACTTTGTTTTCTCTAAGATAGTAATAGACTAATACACTGCAGGAAAGGTTTCTACCTCCAATCAGCCCAGTAGTCCAACCTAGCAGTGATCTTCAAGATTACAAAATGCTAGGAAAGATTGTATATTGTTTTATGTACTAGACTTCAGCTCATCTCTAATCTAACATCTCAGTAATCCACGTGGAAGGGTTTCAGGTGACAAGAGTCTTCTGTGGAAGCAGCACAAAGATAACATAGGCTTGTGAGTGCCAAGTGCATTACCAGGGCAGAACAATCCCATCTAAGCAATACTGACAAGGACAGTAGTGTAGATTTCAGCCTCGCACAACGGAATGGAACACAACAGGACAGTTCCAGGGTCTGATGGTTAGAAATTAATCTATGAGAGCGTTTGAAAACTGTACCTCAGTTTGGGCTGTGAATTCAATATAAAAGGGCTCATGAAGGCCAAATCCCTTTACAGACCTTCCACAGTTTATATTCTAAGAGCTGAAATACAGGGGAAGAGATAACCAGTCTGGGGATTGCGTAAACAAAGTGGACACAGAAGAAAAATGTATTACCCTTTTTAAGATGCAGGCCAAAAGCCCCTCAAACAGGCATTAATCTGTAATTAATTCTGCATCAGTAGCTCTTTTTCTTCTCCTCCCTGTTATAACTCTACGTGCTCGCTCTTACTGCCCACTGCAAGACTTTAACATTATTAGTGAACACAACAGTTTCCAAGCATGGGATTAGGCACACATTTAACTGCGCATCTCAAGTCTGCTGAAGCAGGGTGTCCTTTGTGCTAAAGCCTGCATTCTCCAGAAACAGAGGAAACTGGAAGTCCCTGGCTTTTGGGAAATGCACAGCTTAAGGGAAAAGCCAAATGCCAGAATTAAAGAGGTCACTACTCTTCAGCCTGTATTTCCACAGTACCTTCAGCTCTGTAAATCTGTAAGAGCAGACTGCAGCACCAGAAAACTGCTCTTATACCTGCATTCGAGTTTGACTGTAAGCAGGAGGGAACCACCTACATTCTGCAAAAACTGCAAAGTAACTTCAAGAAATTTAGATTCAGTTTAGGAAAAAAAATAGTATTCGTAATACTCCCTCTATACACTACAAAGCAACAAAACTCCTAAAACCTGCTCAGTGTCTCCCTGGAACCAAGCATACCTGAGCTGAGTTTTTGTCTACATAGATGTGGATAACTCCTCCATGTTTGTTACATTCCTCAATCACATCATCTTTAATTTCTGTATCCCAGCCAGCTTCTTCTTCACTGTATGGGTGGAGGAAGAACAGGACAGAGATGGAATTGTTATCACTTGCACAAAATCCACCCTAAAACCCATCAAAAAAACCTCTGCAACATTCTGATTCCTTTCTCAGATGTTAAAGTCATCAACAAATGCCAAACAGAAAATGATAAATCACTTACGTTTGAGGATTAAACATGTTGGAAAGCTGGAAGCACTGTGTTGCAAGTGGTTGTACAGAAGCAGCTGCAGCCAGAACTGTTGTAATGGAAAAAAACCAGTAACAAATCTAAGAACCTGCTATGCATGGGTCCAATTTAAATGAGTATCTTCCATCTATTCTTTAAAATCCCAACATTCAGCAATAACAGCAACAGTTCTAACGAAACAGAAAATTGAAGGCAGGAAAGCAAAACTTGTAACTAGGCACTATCTATGATAGAGAAATTTTAAATTGATCAATACGGAAAATAGCACAGATAAACAACAGTTGAAGCTGAAAAGGGAAAAGATAGCCCTGACTTTGGCAGATTTTCAATTTAAACATTTAAATGCAGATATATGCATCTTCGCATGCATCTAAAAATTCTGCCTGAGTTGTATGCCAGCAGCACCTTTAATTTTTTTCTCCTCATGGAAGCTGAGCAGCAGCTCAGGATGGAGTGGCACCACCCCATCTGACTTCACAGGAAGTGACAAACATCTTTGAGAACTCTCAAAATGTATTTTCAGCACATTGAATTATCCTTCAAAAAAGTATATCCGTACTTTTGTCCTTTGGAAACACATAACATAGGAAATATTTGACAACTAAAATTATAAACATTTTAATTGTAGAATAGATCTATACTCTGTCCCAGTAACTATGAAATTATTACTTGTCATTTATTGTTGCTCATCACAGTACATCTTATTAAAGAGAGCACTGTCCTACAGACTGCCCTTTCCAAACACTGTAAGCTTCTGTTAATTTAGCTGAAATAACGGCCACCTTCTCTCTACACATGTAGATGTTAATGGTTGCACAGTCAGAGTAAGATGATGACTAATCCAGAGACAGTAACCCCAAACTCCTGATTCTCAAATGACCCCTCTAGTCCCTACCTCTAAGGCAAGAAAAAACCCCACACCCAACCACACCTAAACCCACAAACAAAAACACAAACCCACACATTTTCTAGGACTAACATATGGCTGGGGAATGTTACCAACACTGAGGAAATGCTACAAAGAAAAGGCAAAGTGTTTAACATACATTCTGTTATTTTCAGTCAATAATCAACACATAGCATGATTCCTACAGACATGAATACAATACAATTTCTCAGGCTGTTGGCAAACTCTACACCAGAAGCATTTCACTTTTATCACTTATCTGCAACACAACCTACTGATGACAAGTTACATCAAATGCTAGTTTACCTTCATTCTGCTGAGATAGTCTCGTTTGCAAATCTAAAGAAAAATATACAGAAATTAATTAGTATGCTTGCTAGCACTACTGTATCATTACCTGCCAGCCAGGTTCTTTAGCTTGCATTTTTGTGGTTAAGAGCTTGTTCAAGTACCTCAACCCACTCTCACTGTTTCTCTCTAGTCGTGAGTAGTTTCACTAATTTCAGCTTCTCAGCTGGAATATTCTGTACTTGATAGAGATTCCATGACCACAAAGGTAAGAATATTTCAAAGAGAAACAATACCTTAAAAGGAAAGACATGACCATGTCCTTTAATTCAATGTATCATTTCCATCTTGCCTTTGCTGTGCTTGAATTCTTTGTACGATGTATTTTGTTCCACAAGAAAATAATTACAGCAATTCTTACAGGCATTAGAAGTTTAGCATCTTTACTAACAGAAAGCACTTAAGCACACAGTTATCCAAATGTGACGTTCTGAAAGCAGTTATCAAATTTAATTTCAAGTAGAGTAAGGTGATATTTCACCTGTTATCTTTCCATATAAATGTCATAATGACACAAGTTACTTTGGTATTTTTCATATTCAAAACATTTTCAAGTGTTCAGAACATTTAATTTGCCAAGAAAACACTAATTACTTGTTTAATAACATATAGCTCTCCCAATTTGAAGTACTGGGAATGGACAAATGCAGACTTTCTAACCATTTCCAAGTATGACTCCAACACTCGACATCTTTGACCTAACAGAAAACTTCAGAATGCAAGAAATGTTACGCATAAGCCTCTTCACTTATGTTCCAATTTAATTCACACAAGCACAAGGAGTTAGAAGACTAAAGTTAACTGTCATCTTAATTCACTTGTTTAGAAAGCAGTGAAGTGATGGACCCAAGTAAGCTTCCAAGCTTACCTGGAAATTACCTGAAGGTATCAGGTATCAACATACTTTTTCCCTTTCTAATAAACCATCCACTGGGGGACCAACAGGAGTGAATATTTTGCTGTAAGTATTAGGCAATGAGAGCTCCAAAGACAAGTCTTCCTCAAGTGCCTTCCCAAGTGAACTTCCATAGAAGAACACATACTGGGAACCGAATTGAAAAATAAGAGATGGAAGGAACAAGCTCCGAAGGCTAAGCTGTAACAGGAACTGGCTACGTTTAGCATGTTTTCCATCTGGATCTGAACACAAAGAAATCTTCAACTCCATGGAGTGAGAAATACCATAAAGGGGAAGACTGTCTTAGCCTGTATTCTCTGCAGAAACTGCATGGATTTGCGCAAATCTATAACTAATTACCTAGTTAATTACTACCCAAAGTTTTTTGTAAACAAATGTTTAAAAAAAACCCCCAAATCTCCTAAATCACTCTAGTTAGTTGAGGGCAGAGACTTCTCACTCTGCAATTCTGACACAATTGCACATATACATCATGTACAGCTGAACTCACCAAATGTCGGTTAGCCTGCGGCTCTACAGCCGAATGCTCCAGGCCACCTGCACCAAATGTGGCAAGTCTACACAGATTACCAGTTCAAATTCTGTCTAGGGCCAAGAGTCAAATCTGTTCTAAACATAGGAAGATCAGCTAACAGCATCTTGAGGCAACAAGTTTCACAGGTTGATTATCTACCACCTCTGAAACCCTGTCCACCAAATCTTTCATCAACTAGCTGAATTTTCTTGTTGCTCATGATTGAAGAATGGTCCTCTCCTCTCACTTCTAAATTCACTCAGAATTTAGAAATTCATTGTCACTCTTCACTGCCAACTCTTATTCTTCCCTACATGCAGTTTTAAATAGTACGTGGAAACTAAAATTAATACATCTGTCAAGTTAAGATCAAAGTAACTTTTTCAGTATGGTCTGTACATATCATCTCTAAGAGTAGCGAGTTTAGCATGACTAAGAAGTACATGCTTAGTACAGAGAAAGCAGAAATACAGAAGCATCTATCAAAGCATTTTGTGTCTTAAAACAAAATGAAGTTGTGTGTTTATTTTAAAACAAAAATAAACAAAAGCCTGCCAAGTATTCCCCAGTCTTTTAATTAATTACTTACAACAGAACAGATCAAATAGAGGTCCAGGATGATAACACCTCTTTGTCCCTCTATTGCAGCACACTACCTCAACCTTCTTCATAGACAGACAGTGCCTTCCCAAAAGTAAGGAATGTTTTGTCCCACAAAGCATTAGAAGTATGTTCTATAGCCTCATGGTTATTTTAAGTTTCAGATTTTTAGACAGAATTTACTAAAGAACAGAAAGTACACAGCTGCAACTGTTTAGCTTCAATTCTTTTTCCTGCTGGAATTTTCTCAGTGGGAATAACATCAAAGTTCTCAGGTCTTCCGTAAAACTAATTCTTTAGCTTCCTTATTTTAGTTTGATTCAACCCATCTTGAACATGGGTGACCAGAACTGTTCACAAATGTGTACGTTACATCTCAGATGCTCAAGTATCTTACCTCTAGGAACACAGCTGCCCTTTCATCACGCTGACAGTTCATGTTCACTCACTGATAAACTGGAGTATTTAGATATTTTTCCTCCTCCTTGGCCATATTTCACTGCTAAGCTCCCAGGCTATGTAACTAGAATTTGTTTCAATCCTGAACAGGTGAACAACGTACAACACCCCAAGAATCCCTTATTGACAGCACCTCTGTATTAAGTCACCTCACTCCTACTCTTGTTGACCATTGTTATTCGTGTAAATATTAAACAAGATCAGCCCAACACTTGAACTTTGGCTTCAACAACAGCCTCTAACCTTCCCAGCTTTCACCTGAAACAAAGCCCTCTTTCTTTGAGCCAGCTTCTTTACACACCTTGTACTTCCTGTACTACCCACTTCTCTTGTTTAATAACTTCCAAATGACACAAGTCAAAAGTTCAAGGAGAAGAGTTCTACTACTGCTCCTCTGTCTAGGAAAGTCAGTTTTATCAAAGATTGTTAGTCTTTAAATGCAGTTTCTCTGAAAGTATGCTATACTTTAATAATATTCTCCAGTTTACCCAGCCTTAGTATGACTTTTGAAGGAGAGAAGTGAAGTCAGAGTAACAGGACTGGAAACCAACCAGATTATGGTGTTCTTCCTTCCTTTTAAGTGTAGGTAATTTAGAATTAGATGTTCCAGCTCTATATTGTATCACAGACTTTAAATATTTATCGACAATACCAAATATCAGACCTCATATTCTATGTACCTATTCCCTCACTAATTTGATGGGAGTTTTCTAACTACTCTGAACTGAGTACATTCAGCTCTTTCTTTTAGCTTTGCTTCTACCTTGTGAATAATTTTCTTTTTTTTAATCCATGTTCCTAGCTTACTTTCCTCAAATTTCAAACTTTATGTCCCCCCTACAAACTGAGGCAATGAGATTCTTTTGAAACATCTTGGGAGTATTTTTTCATTCAACCTCAGCCCTGCTTCCTTTTTATTCTCTTCAAGAGTTGGTAAATCTTCATTTATCCTTTCGTGTCTTTTACAAAGTCTAACTCCATCTGACTGTTGGCAGGTAATTCTCACTTTATCTATTTCCCAAACTAAAAGTATTGTTTTATCATCAGTCCTTTTTCCTATTCTTCATAGGCTTTGTGCTTATTCCTTATTTCTTTTGCAGCAGTTAATCACCCAGTTTGGTGTGGAGCCCATTTCTAACAGGACTGTTTCTTCTTTCTGTGGAATACAGATCCAATATAGCATTAGCAATTTGGAACTGAAGAAACTTTTTACATCCTGCCTGTTCAAACACCCAAGTGGCTTAGACCAGATGACTTTATTGTCGTTTCTTCAACCACTGCTTTTGAATCAGAAGCCTTAGTTATAGACCTGTTTTGTTTATCCTTTCATTTAAACTTGAGTAACTCACGATCCCTCAAGTCAACGGTCATTTCTATTCTCATCCGTAACATCTTCATTACTTACCAAATTGAGTTTAAAATAGCATCCCCTCTTCATGAGTCAGTGAGTGTTTGATGAAGAAATTTGTCGGATATCACATCCAGGAATATCTGGGCCCCACCATTATTACTAGCAATTCTTCTCCAATCTGTATCAGGGAAGTTAAAGTCTCCCATAATGACATAATTCCTGGTAGTAATTTTCTCTAACAAGAGTAAAGAGATCTTTAATCCACAACCAAATCTCACTTTGGGGATAGCTCATGACTCTATGGTAGTATCTTTTTCCAAAGTTATTTAAGTTGCACATGTCTGCATTATTCCTTTTGTACAATACAAGTGGAATAAACAATGCTACTTCTATCACTTTTATTTCTACAGTTACTAAATATGCACATTCTTCAAAAACCTGTATTCAGCCTTATTCCTCCACAGCCACGTTATCTCATACTGATTCCACTATCCTAACAGTTCAGCTGTGTCAGACATTTTTGGCCATGTTCCTGATTTGGGGAGTTTGGATTTCTTTGGCTTGTTTGATTCAAGTATGGGGGTGGGGAAAGGATTGGTGTTTTTTAAAAATATTTCTCTCATTTCTCATTGACTACACCTGTTTCCATGCAAGACTGTCACACCACTTCATCACCTACATTAAAGGTGATCTAATTTTAGTGTTCTTTACCTTTCCTTCTCTTTCTGGATTAGATAGGCTTTTTCCTTGCCACTATGTCTTTTTCATCTTTTTCTTCTCAAATAGAAAAAAACGTTATTCCCCAACCCACATTTTTCTTGCACTAGCCAATTCCTTTCTCTTTCAATGGTATATCTGTAGAAAGACCCTATTATATTCTTTTAGCAACTGTCTACAGTTTCATGTGTATGCTCTTCTCAAAACTGCACCTGAACTTCAGTAACATGATTCAGGTGTATCTTAAGTCTGAATCACTTCTGTCACAAACTCTGCTGGAAGACAAACAAAACAATGCCACCTATTCTTTATTTCTTGACACTTCTCACATGTTCCAGCATCTAGTTATTTGTGACATTCAAGTCTTTACTACTGCTATGACAGTTACATGCCCTTTGTTCTTGTATTAATAAAAAATAACAAGAAGAAATTCCACACTCTAAATTCCTAATCTTCTGCGGGAGGTTACTCATTGCTCTAGTTCTGAAGCCCTCTTGAATAGTTTGTTGTTTAGGCCAGCTATGATCTAGCAGCAGCAATCATATCCTCAGCCTCATTCCCTCTCACAAAATAATGTCTCAGTAACGCTTCCAACATACCCACTTGTAGAACACACAAACTATAGCCAATTCCAACTAACACACAAATTCCCTGGTACAGTGTCCTTCCTTGCCAGGACATACACTGTATAAACCTAACACTACTGTAGTCTTAGTTGCCGTGTCCCCCATGAAGTCCTAATAACCTTCTTGCCCCTGGTACAGCTCTGTTTTTTCAGAAGGGTCAATCCCCTTCCAATTATGAGCCTGTTACTTTTAACAGTCAACATTTACACTGCAGTAGAACATAAAAGTCCCCGTTAGTACAGGGAATAGTAAAGATAGAGAGATGAGGTTTGGGATGAATTAAGTGAACTACAACAGATTTGCCAAAAATAATGCAAAATGAATGACGCCCATCAAAGCTGTCATATACTGTCACTTGTTTATTTGCTTATGAATTTGCAATGTTTTACAGTTTGTAAAACATGCTGTAATACTTATGTTCGCATTTTGAAAGATCACAAAACATAGTTAAATACCTCTTGTCTCAAAATTATAAGGCATGAAGAATTTTTGAAAAATAAATAGGTCATCATTTCTTACCTGCCACAGCTCCAAATGCCAAAGATCCACTCATCTGCAGAGCCTGCTGTGCAGCTGGAGGAATCTGCAAACCCGTACCTAGAACAGAATATGAACAAACCTTGTAGCAAGCACTTTTCATTCAGTTAAGGATCCAGTAACAGAAGTATCAGAAATCTTACTGTTGCCAAAAGCTTAAAAATACCATTCCATGCATTTAGCATAATATTCTCTGGGGTGTATTATTTCAAATTCTGCGAGCTTCTGTATTTTCACACATTTCCTATTAATCATCACACATACCTTCTGCAAGTCTTGCCATCAACTGAAGGCGACCAGTTGTTCCCAAGTCAATTCCAGTCCGTTCCAACTCATCACTGTCCAAAAACGAACTAGCACTAGAAGCATCAGTGCGCTCAGTTACATGTCCAACCTTCATTGGCCTACCAGCCAGCTCAAATCCATTGAGTTGTTCCAAGGCCTTTTTGGCACACTCAGAGTCTGAGAACTGTAGATTGGAAAAATATGAATTCAGTAATACTGCATACAGGATTCAGCAACACTTCTACTGTATGTAATACCCACAGTTACGTAAACATGAGAAATACTATATTTAAGATAACAATAGCTACAAGCTAACTTAAATGTGCTCCGTATCGTCCATTTAAACTGAACACACATGAGTTTGGATATTTACTTTCTCATATTTAGATAAGAATACATTTAAATATACATTATTGTTGAAGCTAGAGCATCTAGATATTGCAATCAACAGAAGTCATGACTGCGGTTCTCTTTCAACACTTTCAAGAACAACAGTCACTTCCTTTGTAACCTTGTAACTGCCATGCATTTACTAGCTATTCCTAACAGATATTCTGCTTTATGCTGTGTAACATCAAATTAAACATACAAATATTTTGTCAGTGTTAAAACCATCGAATATTAGCTATATAACTAGTTTCGTTTAATTTCTCTCCAAGTGCCAGAGGTCCCAGCCAACACTTTTTTCCCCATGAAGAATTGCTAGGTCAGTCAAGAAACCCAAGTTCACAAAATTATGTATCGAGGGTAAAGAGGAAAGATGTCTTCAACTGAAAGTTTTAGCCTCTAATACTGTATTTCCCCTAAAAAGCTCAAATTTAATCATTTTCACAGCACTGTGAAAATGCCAGTCTTTATTAGTATCTTTGCCTGCAGAAGACAGCATTGCTTTACCAGACACTGACCACAAAGTATACTATTCCATTCTAAACATGTGCATTGTTCAACCACAATACCCACAGAGAACTGGCAGAAACAAAGAAAAAGGCCATTGTTGCATATCCTGCAACATGGTATTTCCAAGATGAGACTTAACAGTGACTGCTGAGTAAGCTATACTACTACATGGGAAGGTTACACCCAGAAATTGCCTAAGAAGTCTGGCAGTTCTAGTCATACCGTAATAAATCCATATCCTTTTGAACGTCCAGTTTCACTATCCATCATCAGCTGAATGCTTTCAATCTAAAAATAAAAATAAAGCTATTTATTATCAGGCATTTTGGAACAAACCACAAGATATCAAAACAAAACCAGAATAGAGCCCTGCGAAATATACATATATGAATGTGAAACCACTATTTTTTTTTTTTTTAATCAGTTCCTTGTTCCTTCCTCAAGTCAAAGTTAGCGTACAGTCAGCTAGATACATACTTTGATACTAAAACAGAAGCAGGTAAACCTAAGGGTGATGTACAATTTATCTTTTAAGTTGAGTCCAGCTACAGGCAGAGGCTTGGTCCTGATGCAGTGTTCTAGCAGACAATGAATGTGCAGACATCATCAAATCCTGACACATTATAATCATGGCATCTCACGCACTGAGAAACTCCATTTCACAAGGTAAGAAAAGCAGTTTGCATGACTTTGACAGGGGCTTTAAGATAAAGGTGCACATTTTAAATAATTATTGGCATATGAGAATTCCTAGAAGTTTACAGTTACTGAATTTCAAACATATTGGTAAGTCACCCATGAGCCATAAAATAGTGTTGGGAAGAGACAGCAACACAGGAGTAAGAGGAAGAACTGAGTTTAAGACTGGAGTATATGGAATCAGGAGGAAAAACCTTCACAGCTCTACATGTAAGCTTCCTAAACTACATTAATCCTACTGCCAGACCTTGGGAGAAAACAAAACAAGAACAGCCATGTGAATTAAAATTTAATAAATTGCTGCAATTTCCCAGTCTTTTGCACAACAGAATTAAAGGGATACACATACTGAATCTGAATAAAGCACCTGAAAAGCAATGTTACAGTATGTACGAGGCAGGGTAACCGTCCGAAGATAGTACGAAAAAACATCAATGGACTTGATAATTTTTATTTTTTTCCCCACTAGGCAGCATATTAAGTATATTACTTTTCCCTATCTAATAACGATATACCCATGATACCTTAGTTAGCACAGTAGAGCTAACATTTATGATGACTCCACTGGAAACTTCAGATTCCATCTGCTCACTTCCATAACTCTCCCTACAAAATCATATTACCATGCCACAAACTGCAGCCTAATAATCAGGAGTGAAAAGGGGCTTATGTCAGAGCTGTACAGGATATGCCACTAGTTCATGGTAGTAACATGAGCTAAAACTTAAGCAAAAATCCTCAGAAACAGATGAAAGTACTACATTCACACTGAACAGAACTCAGACCTGATGCTGTGGTTTGTGCTTTAACCTGTGAAATGTGGCTCCAATGCACAAGCACATGGGGGAGGGGGGATATTTACAAGCTGCAGAAGCAGGATATAACTTGGGGATTTTTCGTTTGGGTTTTTTGTTGTTTTGTAATTTCAGGCACTCATTGAATTCTCAGCTTTCCTTCATAAGACCTGCCATTCAAAATCACTGGACCACATCACGAATCAAGGTTCTGATTTGATCTCCAATACTAACTATGTATCTAAAGCCTTGTGGATGTACAGGTACAGAAGAGTGAGAAAAAGAAACAAATGTTTTACAGGTGTGAAGCTGAATTATTTCCAGAAGCTGTGGGTGGTCTACAACTAATCCAGGTTTTTCAAATAAAATACCATAACACAACATGCCAAATTAAAATTACCCTGCCAAACGGCTCAAAAATTCCTCGAAGCATATCTTCAGTTATGTTGAAGTGTAATGATCCCACATAGAGCCTCATAGGACCAGCACTACCCTTCTGCAGATTATTTGCCATTGCTGCTGCTCTGTTTTTCTCTGCCTAAGAAAAGGAAAAAGAAAAAACTCACCTTCTGCAAGAATTTAATAAAAAACCCTAACATAAGCAGAATACATCTACCAGATTAAAACTAGCAGATTCACCAAAAACAAGCTGCTTTAAAATCTGCACAGTATCCATTGGATTTTAACTTAAAATCTACAAAATCCAAAACCATGACCATAGATACACAGCTTCCAAAAGCCTTCAAATTGAACAACTTCATGCAGAATTCTAGGTTGTATCTAGTAAATTAACACTTTACTTTTTACACATGCTGGAAAGCATACATAATATATACTACAATTCTGTAATACTATTACAGTTTCATTATTACTACTTTCTTAACATCTGTATTTTCGAAATGCATTTGTATCACTTTGAATTGCTTTAATTTGCCTGTCAACTATGGGAAACAAAGGTCCATTTATAATTAGCTTAAATAATCATTCTTGTTAAGTTTTCCAAGCGTTCAACGGTAACCACATTTTCAAACAGTAAGTTTTCCAGCAATGTAAGAGGCACCACTCAACATGAATAAAAATGAGGTTCACAACTCCTTACCTGTGATGCTTGTACTATGATTGGTACACCCAAGACTCTCTGTCCAGTTAGTCCTATTGCCAGAGGCACTGAACTAACATCAACAAATTCTACATAAGCAATTCCCTTTGAACGCCTGGAATTTCTATCCGAAATCATTCGCACATCACGAACCTGAAAGGCAAGTATAGAAATGCTGTTAGAGATAAAGGAAAAAAAAACTAATGCAGTGCATTTCTCAGGAAGGTATTAATAATCAGACAATTATTTGCCAAGCCAAAGGCTTCGTAATTATGTTGCAAAACTAGAGTAGCATAAAGCGATCTTAACAAACATATCCCAGAGGCAAGCTAGCATTAAAAGCTGCCATTCAAAGTCAAATGTAGTATGCTAAAAGAACAGGGGCAATAGAATACTTGCAGCATTGTAATGCTTTAAGCCAGAACCTTATGGCTGATGGAACAAATAAAGTTTTTCAAAATTAAAAGTTAAACTACTTTTTAAATTACACTGTAACTGACAGACCTATCTGCAAAAGACTGAAACTCTGAAAAATGAAGTTGTTTGAATCAGAATTGCATTGCCATATTTTGCATCACACCACATGCTCAACAATGAACTCCTGATAAATTATGTTTTCATGTTCAGAGCCTTTAAGGATTAGCTGGTCATCATTCATCCCCCTTTCACCTGTATAGGAAGCTCCAGAAAGCCACTTGCTTACAGTTCTGCAGAGTACCAATTGTGTACTAGGACAGCTTGAGGAAGTATTCAGAGTAATTTTAACCTCCCTATTAATTACCTTCCCTACTGTAGAGAAAAATTCTTCCAGGTCTCTCGGTCGAATTCTTGCAGCCAGCTGCATGCAGAATACTGTTCGAGCATCCCTCTCTTCAGGGGTAAGATTATCAATAGGTTCTCTGGAAAGAGGAAGGTTCAGTTAAAAAATAACCTGAATTAAGATAACTCATCTCAGGACCATGCATGAAACTTCAAATAATCAGTACTTCAAAGTCTGATGGGGAAAAAAACGCCTGCCATATTAAAAAAAGGCAGGGTCAAGAAGTGAAGGGAATACCTAATACTAATATAATAATAATATATTTACTTCTTTAACGTTACTAAACATCCTGTTTCAACCATAAGCATTAAATATGACTGGAAAATTGTATTTTAAGTACAGAAGTGCTGTAACACTAACAGTGGTGTCATTTTGCTACTGTCCAGAACAGCTAACAGTGCCACTCGGGAGCTTGCAGTCAAAAAGATGAGATGAAAGGACAGGAAAACAAAGGAAAGGAGGATTAATTAGCACAGACTAGCTGTCTGAATTCTCAGAAAACTAGTACAAACTTGTTTTTGTGGCTTTGCAAACTAAAATCTTACATCTACCCAGTCACTTTGGAGTCACTACAGCCACTGCATAAACAATACTGACATCTATACAAACAGAATTCCCAGACTTCATTTTATAGTTTCAGCTTGTTAACCCATAAAAAAGTATGAATAATGAATTACTCTCATCCTTGACACCAGAAGCACTAGATTAATTTTATTTCAATCCTGATCACTAGCTGAAATTAGATGCACCATTTTTAAGGTGTTAAAGCTTCAAATCTGAAAAAAATCTAACTTGTACTTAAGTACAAGACAGAATTAGCATGCTGGATCCTGGATTGAGTTTCCAGTCATGTAATATGTATTTATATTTTTATAAATATTAAGAAAAAAAATCTCTGAGAATACACAAGACGAATTTAAACTAAATTATCTCAGTAAGAGTTTGCTAATAATTAAAAAAACTAAGCAAGATTGGTTAAATTTAACTGCATTAATTTCGAGAACGATGTCATTAGCAGCTATCTAAATCCAATTCCCTTAAATGAGAAGCCTAAGGATGGATAAGCACCTCCTGGATTTCAAAGGTACCTGGCTTCTCTACAAATAACATCAATACATACTGAATAGGAAAAAGAAGTACTTTTCTATTCCATACTTAAGATTATTAAGTAAGATTTAGCAGAAAAGCTAGTTAATTTAAATCACAATTAATAGGAAAAAGAATGAGAATACAGAAACACAAAAAGCAAAGCAAGACATCTTTTGCAAACTGACATTATTTACAATTGTACACTGTTATTGGTGAGGGGGGCAGGAGAGATAGTTTATGACATGGGGAGAAAGCAATATATTTTCAATGCTCTCCTCTCATGGGCTTTCTGAATGAATTCCAGCATTACTTGTGAGTATATGCTGGAGAGCAAGTAGCCATGCATTATTTCACCATTACTTTTCCAACTTCAGCTGGACAAAAAAAAAAAAAAAAACACCCAAATGTGTGTAAAAATTCCTACCTAACAGGGCTCTTGTCTTTTCTGAAGGGACTTTTGCTTCTGGAGCGTCGTCTGCTATAAAGAGAAATCAACAAGATTAGAAGAAAACTTTCAAAAATACCAGTCTGATTTTAAACAAAACCTACTAATGATGCAATAAAAAGTAGAGAAAACTCAGAAACCTTAATTTGATGCTGTGAGGCAGACCAATCTTCCCTCTGATGGCACTGTTGAATTTTGGACCAGAACTACGGCAAAAGCAGAGACAGACATTACTCACCAGTACCTGAATTCAAGATTTCCTGCCTGTACTCATATTACAAGCGCTCACCCACCCTTGCACCTGAACTTGTAAACATTTTCCACTAGCAGCACCCATAGCATGCATAAGCTACATGCAACATTCCAAACAGAATATGCTCCCTGCTCAGTTTCATCTGCACTGCAAAATCCCAGAATATGCAGGACTCCAAGGAAGAACTGAATCATGAGCCATCCAGACATGGCATATTTGCATGTGCAAAATATTGAGCTACAGTTACTGTTGTAATATTCTTTGCATGTTTTTTTGTCCACATGCACATTCTACTTACTGATCACTGCAAAGCAGTACCTTAATGGCCTGAAGCCTCAGAGTTTTGAGCAAAGTGGTGCTGGCAGGACTATTTGCTCAAGTGTAACGTTTTAAAACTGAAAGTTTCATGAAATTTAAGGTGCAAGTGGAAACCAAAGTAGCTCCCTGCAGACATCTGCAAGGGACACATTCACTAATGTTGTCTCAGCTCTAGCCACCGAAGTGCTACGAATATCTAAATGCAGCTTCGTTTAAGGAAAGTTCTTAATGGACATCAAAACACAGAACCATTTAAGCCAGCTGTTAACCTTATATAGACATGTCATCACAGAAGGAATCCAATCTCTTGGCTGAATCTAATTTTAGTTCTCCACGCTTCACAGAGGCTGCCAGAACAAATGGCAAGCTGCCCATTGCTTCCATGTTAAGGACAGTCCTCTTGCTTGTTATTGTGGCACAGGGCAACAGACTGTGACATGAATAGTAAGATTCATCCTATCATGCTCTCCCTGAACTTGATCTCCTTGTAGATACAAGGCAAAGAACAACACCTGTTAACGTTCTTCCTGTATATCCACCGAACGGCAGAGGCACTGCTGCACAGACTGAATGCTAGGGGGTTTGTCTTTCCATCTGCACAGAATTGATTCTTTCTGCTGTGGCTATAAATTGATGTGAAAACACCCTGCAAGACACAGCAGTCTGAAGACATTAAGCAGTCTTTCACTAAATCCATTTAGCCAACCAATTTGTTTGATAAACGTCTTCTTGCTACTCAGTGGAGCAGTAATGCTTATAGTTAAAGTCAGCATCCACAACAAGGAGGAGGATGCCCATTTTTAAACATGTCATGACACAGGTGGAAGTAGTGGGCCAAGATCCAAAACCATGCTGGACAGGTTAAAGCAAGGGAAATATGGCCCTGTATAACACTGGAAAAAAAAATAAAGAAAAAAGACCATTTAGAAACTACTTATTAAGAGAAAACAACTACTTATTAAGAGAAAATAAGACATAAAAAACAGGCACATGTTGCGATGAGATCACTACTGACTTTTTTTTTTGCCTAGGATAAATTACTCCATTTCCTACTCAAGTTCAGACAAATGACTGATGACAGCATCCATTCAGGTTCTCCAATGTCTATGACCCATACTGCCAAAAGCTGCATCTGGAAATGTTGGTACTAATTCCAGAGGCTGGCTTCTTATGAGAGATGGGATTACCTTGCATCTTCGCACCTCCTGGTGTAGAACATGGTGTTCTCCATTTCAATTCAAATGCAGCAAGACAAACCAATTACAGTGACTGCAGAATATTAACATGCAGACCAACTAAATGATAGTCAATAATCAAGACCATGAGTTTTTAAGGAAACACTGAAAGAAATGTTTTAAGTTTTTCTAAACCTAATAAAAAAACCTGAGAAGATACACAGTAACAGTTTTCAAATACATACAATACAACTTCCAAGAAGAAAAAAAAACAACCAACCCACAACTCCAGAAATCTCTTTTCTATTTTCAATCTTGACAAATAAGTAGTATCTTATTTACATGACTACATGGGCGAAACATTAAAAAACACCAGCAAACTAAAGCCATAACAGACCACTGGAACAGACTGAGCAGAAAGCTGCCTGGGGCAAGATGATGGCCCAAGTTACCTTCTGAAGATCCTTTTTCAAGAGCATTCTACAGGATGCATTTCTTTGGGTTTTTCTAAGGAGACTTGCTTGTAAAACTGTAGATCTCTGGGGAATTTTCTTCTTTCCTCCTACTGAGTAAGAATTCTTTGCAATTGTTGCCCGGTTCCTGCTATCACATATGGAAGCACTGAGTCACAAGCAACCTATCTTTATGTCTATGGGTTACCTTCTTCATAAGCCAAATGCACTAAGTCCTGTGTACAGCCAAAGCACAGCTAGGTACATGTTTTCCTAAACCTACGTGATGCCACATGGCCCAAGAAAAATAGTCAGGTCAGAAGATAGCCAGTAAAATATCAGCTTTCACCTGCTCAGTCATATCCAAGACTCCAACAAAAGAGTCTCAAACAAGGCAAGCTTCGGCTAATAAAGTCCAGGAGAATCACAACAAACTTTCAGTCCTCATGTAATAACACAGTTTTCCCAGCAGCTTTGCCCAAATTCTTGGTTCCAGAATAGCAACAGGACAGTCTAAGTGACTTCTACTGTACATTAGCAGTAGCTGGGATTTGTCAGACAGATGTCTAAGCAAGAACACTTGGTCAAGTTCTTTCTCCTAAGAGACTTAATAATGTAACTGTAAAACACTTAAGAGGCAAGATACGTGAGAAGAATAACATTAAAAAACCCTGTGAACACTAAGCAATGGAAGCCAGTCACCCCATTTTGAAAAATTAAAACATTTAATCACTATGTCATGCTTAAATGTGACAAATTCGAAGTCCTCGGGTTCTCTGTGGCACTCTTCTCCTTTTCCTTCAGAATTACTTATACTAGACTTTCTTTTCTCACTATTGCAGAGATGCTTCTACATCACCCCTGGCAGCAAAAACATCTCAGTTTAGAGATACCAGCTTGAAAAGGGGCCTTTATAAAGCAAATGAGAAAGATCACAAGGAGGAGGAAGAGTAAAAAATAAAAATTAAAAAAAAATACAGACACAAAGCATTTTGAACTAGATGTTGCAGTCAGCCACAACACTGCCTGCAGTAACACCAACTCAGAACTGTCTGTACAGCCCCACAAGGTGAGATTCCAGATTCAAATTCTCCAGCCAGTGAGAGCATTCTGGTAGTTACTTTTGAAACGCCGAGCTGATGGCACTACTACAGAGATGGTTTCTTTATACAGAAGCATCATTTTTGGTAGATCCAAAGGTATCTGATCCAAAGGAGGCTGGTGATGCAGGAGGCTTCGTCTCCAGAACTTGTGTCTCCCTGAAAGTCAGCGCCTGTTATACAGCTTTTGAAGGTGAGTCTCTGCATCGAATAGTCCTGAAGAAATGAAGAGTTCTTCTCCCTCATACCTTCTGAGGTCCCTCTCTTTCACACCTTCTGAGCCAAAACTAGAATGTTGGAATCGCGTTAGCATGTGTATCACTTCAACAGCATCATCCATGACTTACAAGTGAACGACAGCCAACTGCTGGCTATGCAACAGTCAGTACCAATGCCTCTGGGAAGCACATAGTTCCCCTATACCAGTCTTCCACTGAACTATTTTAAACACTAAAATTCTACTTAGTTAAATGAAAGCAACAATTCAGCTACTGAGGCAGAGAACACAACACTGCCAAGCCAATATGCACAACCTCATATCCTCAGGGGATACTAGATTATCTTGCCTTTTTGTTCACTGTCTCTCAAACCAGAGAAATTGCCCAGAGCAGCTATGGAAGAGCATCAGAACCATGAAAAAGACCCCTTGCAATCATTCACCTTCCTGGCACAACGTACCTTGATGCGTTAAAACAGGCACGGGTTATTGTAGTCATGTCCATACTTTCAACCTCTACTCAAGGAAATGATTTTGGAAGACCAGAACACTGAAACTCCCAAATGTCTCCAGGTGAAGAACCTCCTCACCCAGTGACGACAAGAAAAGCAAAGAACAAAACCCTCCGACACAGCTAGGAGAATGCAGCAACTCCCAACTGATGAGATGAAGCACATCCTCTCCACGCAACACCACAGTGGAGGTGAGAAGGCTGGCAGGCTCCACATACAAAAGGCTCAAGATCTTGATCAAGGTCCTCTGTTTACAAGGCAGTCTGGAGCCACAATGGTGGCACTGGCACAACCCAACTAGCTACTGTAATCTTACAGGTGCCAAAGAGCTATAGATAACATGCCAACTGTGCACAGCTGAAATCTTCAGAACTGAAGCGCAGAGCAGCTTTAGAGAGGTTCTGACAGGCCTGATGCTTGAGACAAAGTAAAAGCAGGGCTGATATGCTCTATGATCCCCAAGTACACAGGACTGATGGAAGCACAGGATGCCACTGCATCTTAGCAGAGCCAGGAGTTGCAGTACGTTTTCATTATGAAAATGCCAACATCCAGGTGACTTGGTGTAAAATGAGACCCTGAGACCTCAGGCATTTTTTGTTTGCATTCCAAGAGTACCAAAAGGAATTTGTTCCCTGGATTGGGACCTGGCCACCTAGAAAAACATTCATGTGCAGAAAACTGTACAAGCTTGCAATTTATCAGAAGGTAAACAATGTCTTCTTAAACATCTTGAGAGAGATTTCTCCATCGCGGATGACATTACATGCCATAATTAAAAAAAGACATCCTTTTCAAATGCCTGCTTCTGACATGATCTTGCATTCTGAGATTTGAAACAGTTGAGACGGGACCCGGACAAAAGCAGACACAAACAGCAGCCTCAGGTAAACAATGAAAGCCAAGCATACAGCCCAGTTCTCCCTGTTTTTCTGTTTCTTTGAAGGCAAAAAGAGGTGATGGGGAGCAAAGGGGAGGGCAGGAATACAAAACAGCAGAAACACAGAATAAATACCAATGAAAAAATGTTTTTTGAGAAATTATTTACAACTGTCAGGAACTACCTATAGCAGAAGTTCTATCAAGCCAAAGATCTGAGAGGAACTGAAGAATTCTTCCACAGCCTCTAAACAAGTTTGAGAAAAAGCAGGGCAAATATGCAACGCATGGGAATTACTAAGACAAGACGCTTCCAGTTAGGATGCATAAGCACAAGAAGTGTTTATGCAGTAAGTATTTAAGAGCAGCAACCCAGTAAAAACCTTTAGTAATATAAGCAAAAGGTTTCATGAGCCTATAACCAAAGTCATAGACTACTATTCATTTTTTGACAGTTAAACCGTCAGGTTCATATACTGAAGATAGTTAGGACATGTAGAAAACTTGCTCGTTATTTTAATTTTGTGATAAACTTTGTTTTCCAGTCAGTTGTACGCATTCTTTCACTTGCTTTTGCATCTTTCTGCGTTCGGGTACGAATGAAAACTAGCAGGAGGAACGGGATACGTTACTGTCCTCCTCCTTTTCACTCGATATGTGTTGACACTCTTCAACCTTAACCTCTCACCTTCTTTTTTGAGATGATTAGTGACCAATTTAGAAAGCAGAGAGTGAAACTTTAACCTTCCACATCATACACTGAAGCAGCACACATGCAACTCTACATTAATAACCTACTAGGGACTTCTATAGCGGCCTCTGAATCTGCGGTCTCTACTTCTAGAACGGCTGCGTCTGCGTTCTTTGCTTCTGCTCCGTTTCCTTTCCCGGCTTCTGCTCTTTTTTCTTTCCCGATCTCGGCTCCGTTTGCGTTCCTTACTTCTGCTCCTCTTCCTGTCATGGCTTCGACTTCGGCTCTTGCTCTTTTTTCTCCTGAGAAAGAAAAATACACCTTTGGTTTACACATGTAGCTCAGTGTTGTTATTTACCTCACATTCCACAGTTCCTCTAACCTGATGTCACAGACATCAATTGGAACAAGTTTCTACCTGTTGGTATTTATGTAAGTTTATTTTGTTAAATGGGTAGTTAAGCATGTCACCAATCTTTTAAAATTTATCATGAGCAACATAAAGTGCTCCAAAGCACTTTTTTATTTTAAATTTTGTAATCACTAAAGAAAGCTTCCAGGAAGAGTAAAAGGACTGGGGAAAAAAAAAAAATTTCCTGCATTAGATCTAGTACATATTAAATGCAATACTTCATGTGTCTTTCAAACATACTTTAAACACACCATCAAGATGCTAAGAATAAATTATATTTTTAAAGCAAAGTAAAACAAAACACTACAAAAAGAAAGGAAGAGACAAGTCTGAGGGAAAGGAAGGTTGTTTTCTCTTGATACTCCCTGCCATCAGTCTCAGCACACTGCCTAAGAGTTTTGCTTACTACTTGCTACTCCCACTCATAAGCCACTTGCTTTTGTAAGTCTGCAGCTCTTACAGGTTTGGGGCAAACTGCAAATCTTCACCATTTTAACCATTCACTTAGAAAATTTAAACTTCTAAAATCTATAAGTCAATTATACCTCATATTTGAAAACCAGTGAGCCACTGTTCCATTCTCGGCAGACTAGTTTGGGGTTATTTGAAATTTTTTTTCCTCTATCTCAGTCTCGGACCACAAAAACTTACAGTCTCCTAGTTTTTAATATATATATGTATCTATACATAAAACACATGTTAAACAGACGCTCAAGCAATTACTTAAAACAGTAACCTACCTCAAACTAAATTTTGGTAAAACCAACTTTGCTGCTAAACTTTTGAAATTCAAAACATCCTTTGTATTGAATTTTTCCTCTCCTTTCAGGACTTCTGATTACATACACCATCTTTTTTCAAAGTGGTCACTCATACACTTAAAAACTTTGTATGCCACCCCCCCTTTTTTAAAAAAGTTCATCCCTGTTACTTTCTATGCCCATGTATAAACAAAGACTTCTCGTTAGTTTCAACTACTGAAGTAAAAATCCCTCAGCTACCACATCTAACTGAGCCTAACCATCACTAGCAGCTCTTGCTCTCCAATCTCCACCTAGGAAGACCCGTTAAAACCATCTTACTATTTATGTCTCAAGAGAAACATTTTGTGATTTGGTTTTAAAATCCAGAATATTTCATTTTTAATTTACTATTTATCTACAATGCCCCATCAGTTTCTCTAATATTTTTGTATGGACAGAGAAGCTGCTGCATCAAAACCCGATATTCAGAAGCTTTACAATCTCTGATAAGATGACACCACCCAGAAATCCAGAATTATCTGCATCAGTATCACTAAACCAACGTCCTATTGTAATGCGGTTTGTGACAGTTAGGCACGCATAGTCTCTCTCTCCAAGGATCCATCACTTACCAGTATCTCCCTAATAAGTTAAAACCCTCAGACACTCACTATCATAATAGCTCTGAAAAATACTACCTGTAGCTCAATATACTGGCCAGTCCAGTAACTAATAACTGCAGCTAGTATTCAGTAAAGACAGTAACTATCCACTATCCAACTGTGAGCTGAACCCTCCTTGCATGCAGACTCCTAACAGGCAAGATCCATATTCTGCCTTCCAATCATGATTAAACTGGACATACAGTACAGACATCTAGTAAAATTGCAGATTCTTAATCCTTCCAATTTCTAGAAACAGAAATTTAGTACGATTTGACAATTACTTAAAGCTGCACACTAAATCTAATGTTATTTTTTAGTTGTTGATGTTTGCTGTGGATTATGGTTTTCCTGACAGTTTGAATCTTCTTTCAGTATTGTCCAACTGAAGTAGATAAAGAATATCCTCTAGATACTGACACTCCAAACAATTTAATTGATGAGCAAAGCAAGAAGTCTTGTAAAGCCTATATACACCTTAGTCTTCAGCAAGAGAGTACATTGTTACAAGTCACATACAAAATGGTATAGTTTGTTCTTTAAAAATTTAGGGGAACAACAACTGTATCAAGTCAAAATTCTGGGACAAAAAGCGTCATACTATCAGAGAACTGCAGTACAAGAATAACTAACATCCTAGCAATTGCTAACTCGAAATGAAATGGGGAGATACCACAGGAACATTTCTGAACAGACACAGGGGTACAATTAGGAAAGCACAAAAAGGTGAAACTCCACACAACAAATAACATTGCAAGACTAACAGTAGCAAAATACCTTGACCTTCTTCTGTTTTACAATAATACAATTTTTTTTCTAAACTTAGTTTACTGTTTTTTTGAATTAGAAATACAAGCTCCTGAATTAGAAATACAGGTCCAACCTGAAAATGGGACCACGGGCAGAAAGATAACAAACGTCATTGTTTTAGTCTTAGAGAGGTTACAGCAACTAAGGAAATTAACTGAAATACGTTCTAGTATTCTCAACATTCTACCATGAACCAAGGTCAGAAACAATTCTAAAATTTAAAACCCAGTGCTTTTCTTTCAGACCCCAGATTATATTTTGAGACTAGCCATCCAAACAAAAGCAGGGTTTTACATGTGATGTATATATATTTTAAAGCAATAAAAAATCAGAACTTAAAAATATTGGGAGCACCTGCTTTTGATGGGGTTTTAACGGTCTCAGTATTTAGCATGAGAATGATCTTCACAGTAGTGTTTAGAATGCAGATACAAGGTATAATCAATTTTAGATTATTAGATCTTGACATAAGTCTGATGTTGGAATTGGACTTCTCATTGCCCAAATATTTATACACCTGGGAAGAAATATTCTTTGGATGCCTTCAGCATTTTCAGAAGATGACAACAGCATACATGCTGACTTCTTAAGTTAGCTGTATATTACAAAAATGGATCAGTTACTGTTTACACAACTATCAAATTAATAATTATTCCTCCTATATCAACTATCTCATCATCAAATGATGCTTGTAAGGTAAGGAATTTATTTTACAGCCTTAAAAACCTTCCATTTGTGATATTTAAGAGACTCTTTTATGCAAGGTATTTTTCTTCAAATTTTTAATCTGATTCCAGACTGTTTGCATCATCAGCAGGTGTTCAGACCCTGGAATTATGCTTCCCAAAGGAAGTGGGCTTGTACTCTGGTTCTTAAAAAAGGTTATAGTATAATTTTACGAAGTTTAGATTAGAGACAAAAATTTAGATGTTGGGGGGGGGTGTGCAGGGTGGGAATAGAGGGAGGGGATCCAACACCCTAAACCTTTTCAAGAAAGCACTGGTATCTTTAAATGTTTTGAACTGTTCCAAATCACATAAAATTCGACACCGAATACATTTTTAAAATGCAAAATCTATTGCATTGCTAAAGCAACAAGAAAGAAATTAAATATGCTGAACCTACCAAGTCTGTATTTTTATCTGATGCTAACATTAAATGTTTCCACAACTTTGATGACATCAGCGACAAGGGCGTAACTACATTTGTAAACAAAAGGAAATTTCATAATTGCTGCAGTTGCAGCAATTGCAAATATCAAGCTTTACCATTTTATTTCCCTAAACACTACTGACATGCATTCATAAGTTTACAAAAATCAGCAGCCTCCCCCTAAATGTAGAGAACTGAGAAGATACTTACTTCTTGCTGCGTTCTTCGTGGCCATTGGCACTGCTCACTTTGTTCTCATCCTAAGCAGGGTTGATAGAAGAACATCGTGAGGACGAAGCGGAAACATTTCAAGTGGTCAAAGGGTAATGGGAATAGGAATAAGAAAATACAAAACAAAAATTTTAATACTAAATTACTTGTCTACAATTTAATGTGGAAAGCTTTAGAAAATTTAGGTAGGCATGTTTAACCACTTTGCTGCTTAAATTTAAGTCATACAATTACAAAATACAAGACTTACATCATTTAAAAGTGTGTATTAAATTGTAGATACTTCCTTACATGGTTTAGAGAGCAAGTTATCCTGTAGAATTCAGCACTCAAGTGGTTAAATGTTATTTCTATAAAATGTAAGAGGAAGTTTCAGGTTTGTGTTTGTGTGCCCCTCTGATCAGTACCAAGGCTATATCTCTGCCTAAGCCCCAGTGGCTACGCTAGCAGCCAGCCACTATGGATTTCCTGTGACCGATGCCATTCCTGAGATCTTCGCTCATTTTCGTTGAAGGGTTGTAAGAGCTTGATGTCACCTCTGTCACACATCTCGCCCTGAAGCAAACAGGGATTCACACTGCTTTAGTAACGTCGACTCCCAAGAAAGTCATCAATAATCCACCAGTCCAGCCTAAACATTCCCTATTTCCATACCTGTTTACATGGAAAATATCCATGTTAAACCAGGACACAAGAATTTTAACATAACAATTTACAAATTTCTCTTCAAGATTTTAACGTAACTGCTAAATATAACATAAACTAAATATACCACTTAAAACTTACAAATGCTCATCCAAAATTCATGACATGGTTGTAATAAACACTGCAGAATAGACTAACAATAGCTGCTATATAATTTATATACTTGCTTCACAGTTTAATCACATCAGTTGCATCAAAAGTACAATTCCTAAGTGACTTAAACTTAACATACATTTCTTGTGAAACCAGTGCTAAAGCATGCATAATGTTAACACTTCACCGCCATTTGGTGAAAAACAAAAAAAGACAGTATTCATTTGCTGCTGGTTTAGGTAAAAGACATCACTACGCTAATTGATAAAAATCTTGCATAAAAATTGACATTTCCTAATTAAACAACTAGGACAGAAGAATGCAAAAGCTTATTTTTAGAATGACACCGCAGACTGTGATACTGTCTTTTACTTGCTAAGAACATTCTATTCAGGGATCCAAGAATTTCCACAAATTCGTTCACTCAGCAATTGATTTCCATCTGCCCTGTTAAAAGATTAACCGCCACCAGTCTTCTGCATTAAAAGCAAGTCTCACTCTTCTTGCACTGAGCAGACTGTTCAAATATTTACTTGCCATGGGACTGGTGAAAAGGTTATTCTTGGAACCCTGCTGTTTTCCCAAACCACTGCATTCACCTTGTTGCTATACCAAACTGGACCTGGCAATTTTAGGAGAGGTTTTTGTTTCTTGTTTTGGGGGTTTTTGTTTTGTTTTGTTTTGGTTGGTTGGTTTTGGGTGGGTTTTGTTTGTTTGTTTGTTTTTAAACCTAGGGGACCACGGTACAGCGATACGTCACTCAATTACTACCTTATGATTGACAGTTCACACTGGAATCAAAGGTGAATTCATGGGAGTAGAGGTGAGATATCGTTAGGCAAGTCTACAAAGAGAGATAGATGGGCATTTATTCATCACGCTGAAGTGAAACTACTGCACAATATAATTACATTAACAGTATATATTTACTTGTAAGTTACATGTAATGCATCTCCAATAAGATAAATCATGAGGGCTCCAGGGATGTTAGTTTACAGTTCAGCAGTAGTTTCATGAATAATGCTAAATTAAGGTAAACAGGACCTCACTGGCACATTTTTCTCACCTTCTTGTAAGGAGCTTCAAGCATTGCTTCAATATCAATATCATCAGCCATTTTTCAGAACACCTGAAAGAAGAAGCAAAATCCACCTGAGACAGAAAACACCCTCGTGCTTTATACTCCAAAGGCTTTTGCTTAACAGGCCATCACTGCACTGGCTCAAATTCACAAAGCAGTGTCTCAGAAGACATTTCCAATAAGAACTGGAATGAAGCCTTTGCCTAGTGAGATGATAAAGAATGTGACACAAAGCAATTATAGCTGCGAACAACAAAATGCTATTGAACACAATTAGCCAGTGGAAACCCCAGAGGTGTTCCACCTATTTCTTTTGAAACAAACAGCACAGATCATTTATGATACAGAAACACAGGTCTAGTGGCCATCTTGGGAAGTACTAGAGCTTGACCAAAAGACCCAAGAGAGACATGTAAAGAACACAGAACAAACATTCAGGCAAACCTCTTCACAGCTTCCTAGCATTTTCTATCACCACATTTACTAATCTGAAGACTTAAAGAGACCACTATGGTCCTTTAAGAAACGCGGCCCCCTGCATAATGGGAGCCACAGACAAAACAGTTATGATTCAAGCATTAAGAGCTACTAAAGCATACACAAGATCCATCCAGTCTGAAACTTCAGGTTTCAGACAAAAAAGATCCACCATGTAGTCACCACAAACTGCTTTGGTGGTTTTTTGGTTTTGTTTTTGTGTTGGCTTGTTTTTTTGTTTTTTTTTGTTTTTTTTGGGGGGGGAGGGGGGGTGTTTTTTTAAATTGTTCCTCTTCTTTTTCAATTTCAACCTCCAACGTAATTTTGTGTTTATTATGCTCTGAACCACTTTGAATATTTGATTTCCTTTCCCTATGCAGGTATTCTATTAAGAACCTCAAGACTCAAGGTTCTTAATAGAGAGTCTTGAGGTCTCTATTAAGACTCTCAAGACTCTCTTAATAGAGAGTCTCAAGACTCTCTGCATTAAAGTATAGAGACTCAACTTCCTCAAATCTCTTAATAAAAATGGCCAGGCCTCTAGATCCAAGTCAGACAACCCAAGAGTGAAGTTTTTCCTGCATGTGTGCCATAAAATGGATTTTTAATCATACAGGTTAATTCTTAAGCTTGGTTACAGGCATTGCTGCAGGAACTGTGCTGTCCAGAGACTTGGCCAACATAATGAAATCGCTCCAACATTTCAAGATCCTTTAAGCTGTTCACTCATAACTGAGAATATTACACCAGCGCTGCACCACATGTAAGAATCAAGTCACCCCCCCATCCACATCTGACCATCGCCCATTAATACAATGAAGAATAAAACATAATCCTTTAGTAACATCAGAGCACTGGAAGTTCATACCCAATTACTTCACCAAGGCGCGCTAACCCCATTTTCAAGTTATAGTAGGGCTTGGGCTGTAGTGCTATCACTTACAAATATGATCATCCTTAGTTCATGTGTAATGGCTCAATTTTACTTTTTACTAGAGTATTTACAGTCAGCTTTTCAAATCATCTACATACGTGCATATGATTTAATTCACCACTGTTCTACCAGTATTTGGTATGAACAAGTACATCAGTATGATTAAGGACCATGAAAAAGGACCAGGCCAAACCCAGGATTCTACAAGAAAACTCCCACTGGTGACAACTCCCACCCACAATTACATTTTCATTTGAGTAATTTACCTAACATATACAGCTACACCTGGGGTGGGATTCTTCATCCTGAAGAGGGGTGGCCAAAGGCGGGGATGGGGCCACAATACAGACCGCCAAATCATAAGTGGCATGGAAAAGTGCATAGGGAATGACTATTACTGCATTCACCCAAATAATAAAAGTGAATGAACTATCATCTGGTGGGTTCAAAACAAAGGTTCTTATTCACACAGCATTAAGCCACGGAATTCACTGTTACAGAGCACTGTGGATGCTAACAAAGAAAAACACACATGCAGTGTTCAAAAAACCCAAAACAAAAAAAGCACAAAAGTTTACAGAAAAAGCTTTTCATTAAACAAAGACATGCCTTGTGACCCTGCACCACAACTAGCTGGCAACTGAGAGCACACAGAGAGGATATCACTGTACGACTGCCCTGTGCTTCTACTCTTTGTTAGACATTCACTGTCGGCCACCATCACAGACAAGATACTGAGTTACGTGGACCTTTGGTCTCACCCCGTGCAATCTGTGCCCTTTGTACTCCGTACAAAACACTTTCATTGGTACAATACCATGTTTTTATCAGAATACCTTTTGTTCACACAACATAGACCTACTATCGACTTTGTAATTCATGTAACGCATATAATGATGCTACATATAAAGTTATTCTGCTTTAAAAAAAAAAATCACAAATAAGAGTCCTTATTAATTTCGAATTAGTAGCAAATCATGACAGATTTTCAAGTCTCTTTCATTAAACACTGAAGAACTGAAAATAATTTTCATAAAGCCTTTCAGCTTGCTCAAAAAAAAAGCTGCATACACCTAACATCCCTGTAGAGAAAAAACAAAAACACAAGACAAACAAAACACCACTAACAAATAAAACCCCCCAAACATCAAAACAAACAAGGAACGAACTACACTTGAAACTTTGTGGGTCTACAGAAAACCTAAAGGGACATGAAACGTACTGCTACTGATCTAGCCAGTATTTTGGAGGCAGATTCTATCTCTTTTTGCTGTGTTATATTACATAAAAGGAGTTTAAAAAGGTCGTCTCCTCGAAATTATCTGCTTTAGAAATTCCAAGAAATGACAATTCCACTCTTGCTTTGCAAGGAGCCTCCTGGAAAAGCATCAGGAAAGTTTAGGGAGAACGTCGGCGCTTCGGTAGGGCAGCTCAGCTCCCAGCAGTACACGCACCTCTGCTCAGAAGGTTCCCACCCGCAACCCTCCGCACACTCCCTATGCGATCGGAACTTGACGAGTTCGGGTTCTCGAACACACCGCTGCGCTGGGACCAGCCCGCCCCACTCTGCCGGGGCTCCAGACCTGCTCCGAGTACCGCACCTTACCCACACCCTCAAGCGGCCTTCAGTCCCTGCGCGCCCCGGCCGAAGCGCCACCCGCCCCGCCCACGGCG